ATACTGTATTCACATAACTTTTTAGAAAAACATCAGCCCTATAAACCGAGTCTGCCAAAACTCATAAAGACCCAAGTAGAGAAAGAGAAGACACAACAGGAACTTCAAGTAAGTTACTACTTGCAACAGGAAAAGAGTTTAAGTTAATAACTGGCTTTGTTCTCCTGCTCCTTGGCTCATCGTCCGATCAGGAAGCAAGGCTAAAAGAAAACATAAGGTATCTGTATACCTGTTGTCTGGCCATTGTCCTACAACCTCAGATGAAGGACATAGCAGTGCTGCTGACCTCCAAGTCTTAACAAGGTAACCCTGAATGCCAGGATCACCCATGACAAGAGCAAGTTTCCTGCACCTTAGACTCACATTGTACCTTCTTATCACCTGGGGATCCACTACTAGCTCAGACTTTTTGAAAGCTCACTATGTTCCAGAACCTCTTCCAGGCTTTATTGCTCTTCAGCATTCCTCAGAGGGAAGCACCACTGTTCTCTGTATTTTACAGACAGAGGAAAATGATGTCCAGAGAACTTAAGAAAATTGACCATAGTCTCTTAGCTCTTCAGTAGAGCCAAGCGTTGGAGGTATGCAATCTTTGCCAAGATGGTGCTCTCATCCTTTACGTTCTATCACTCAGGAATGGAAGGATATTTGATCAGTGAGAATCTCTGAATTCCCTGATTCTAATACAATCACTCCTCAAACTAAAAAGAGACCTTGATTGCCATACCCTGAAGCTCATTCCCTACCTCAGTCTGGTGCAGAAAAAAAAGAAGAAAACTTTCACATCCGGGCTTTGAGAAAGCTTTCAGTGGTTTTCAGTCCTCACCTCCAGTTGGCTCACAAAGCCCACTACACCTTCAGAGTGGGTAATGGAAGGAACAAACCCAGCATGTGTTACGTGGGAGGGCACACCCTCAGACTGAAATAGATCTTTGTTACATCAACCACACCACTGGGGTTAAAAAGAAGCCCACACTATCACACCAGTGTTTCCAGTTAGACCTAGAAGGTATGACATAAATGTTGAGTTAAAAAAAAAAAAGTTTCAAAAAATGCCATTGGTCTATAATGAAAGACAAAAGCCTGGGGTAATCCTCAGTCCAATCTCTGCACTCCCACCCTGCTTTTGTCCCCATTCCCCCCAGCCGCCCACATTCTTCCCACCCACGTGAGGACCCCTCATGCAGCCCTGGCTTTACACTCCCCACTTCCGCTCCTCACGAAGGTTCACTGGTTCTGAAAGTACCCAAGACCCTCTCTCCTAACTTAAACTCCCCTCTGTTGTCTCATCAATTCAAAATTAGAAAAGGAGACTCTCTTATGAAGTGACACGTCTCTTTCACTTGATATGAGGGAATCACTAAAAGAGCATCCTGTCCCGAGAAGACCGGATACCCTCCAAGTCCCTTCCAAGTAAAATTATTATTAAACTGACTTCTACTAAATAGTGAATGACTAATAACTTGCTCTCAAAAATCTGCACACCACTACAGAGATATTTGCTCGCCACATTCCTAGTGGGATTTAAGACAGTGGTATATACCCACTGCGATGACAAGAGCCATTACTCAGCCCCCTGGCCCTTGGCATATAGCTGATCAAGGGAGAGGAACATCAAGAAGACTCTGGGGACACTTATATCACTTACTTGTGGGTGAGGCAATAAAAGGAGGAAAATGAATAGGAAGCCTCTCCAAGACCACTCAAAAAAACCCTACATGCACCACTGAGGAGAGCCTGGAAAGTGGATACTCTCTGTGGCCACAAACCTCCTTTCCTGCAGGTAGATACAGTCAAAAAAAAAGTCAGCCAATATTCATCTCTTCATCAGCTTCCTCACTGTAATAGGAAAATTCAGGTTGCTCCAGCTCCAAAAGAAAATAATAATAATAATAATAATATCTCCTTAGTCCATCCCTTCTAACTCTGATTTATTTATCTTAAAAGAAAAAAATCTCTATGCTCCCCTTGGGTCAACAATGGACACTACTGATCACTGAATAACAAATCTTAATAATATGCTTGTATGAGGGAAAGCCACATTGTGACGTGAGACTAAACAATCATTGCTATTACCTTTAACGCCTGACCTGTCTCCAGAAATGCTAGGGTCTCCACAGTTGTCTCTATCTCCTCACCTACAATAGCTTTTATTCAAGCAGCTGGGTAAAAGGTAAGTGAACAGTATCTTACTTGATTTCATAGTGTTTTCTATTTAATCAAATAAATGGATACAGAATAGCATTCCTTCATTATCCCCCTTGCAAATATAAGCTAATTTAACTGTAGAATTGATTTAAAAGTTTTCAAGTGAGCTGACTTGGCACCTAAATGCTGACAGGTAGCACTACCTTTTCTGTCAAATGTGCTTTAACTGTTGACCAACTTCTAGAATCAAGCGGTTTGTATTTAGAATACAATCCCTGCCTGTACTTTAGGAAAGAAGCTCTGTGCTCAGAATATCAAAGGAGCACAAGCGAGGAGCCAGGGGAGACAGAGCTGCCGGGGCAGGAATGCCAGCAAAATGTGCCTGAACTTGAACTCGACAGATGGCTTTCTAATACGTCAGCGTCTTGGACTTTCGACACCAATTTCTTCTTAAAGGAGGACAGTTCATCAGTTAGAATCATCTTAGAAAACTGGAAGAAAAAAATATAAAGACACAAGCCAATACATTAAGCATGGCTCTGCAGAAAAATGGAGCATGCCGAGTCACATTTAAAGACACAGCTTCTACAAAATGTAGCCAAATAATCGGTATCAGGGGCAGATTTTTCCTGACCATTGAAAAGTCCCCCAGAATGGCTCTGATTGGCAGATATTTTCTGAGAGAGGACAGCTGAGGCCTCTGGTCATTTTATGTCAATGGCCCAAAAGAGTCGTCTCCTCTCCTCCCTCATCTCTCTTCTCTCTTTGTTGCTAATCCCTAAGGCTACATCCCAACCTGCCACGCAAAATGCGCTCAAGGCCGTGGCTTTAGGGGACAGGAATCACCACAAAAGAATGCACATGTTTGGATGAATGCCTTATGCAACTCATTGATTGAATATGCCTATGGTGATTTTTCTCAAAAGAACTTGTCAGATTAAAATTATAAATGACTTGAAACTGCTGGTATCCATTTCATTTGGCCATTAGGGTAGTCAGTATGTCTAACTTAGGAAGGAGAAAATGGCAAAATGACCCAGAAATCAGTAGATTCTTGTTTTGTCTTGATTTTACTGATGAAAATTCACCCTTAATGTGATTGATTAGAGACAGTATCAACTGTTTATTGTGTGAGATTAAAGAAAAATCAAACAGGGGCACCTGGGTGGCTAAGTGGGTTAAAGCCTCTGCCTTCGGCTCAGGTCATGATCTCAGGGTCCTGGGATCGAGCCCTGCATCGGGCTTTCTGCTCAGCGGGGAGCCTGCTTCCCTTCCTCTCTCTCTCTGCCTGCCTCTCTGCCTACTTGTGATCTCTGTCAAATAAATAAAATCTTTAAAAAAAAAAAGCAAAAAGAAAAATGAAACAAATAAAACATATGAAACAGTATAATCTGAACACAAAGTTAACTTATAAACTCTGAAGTAGAACACGCTTGCTGCTGCGGTTAACAGACATAAACTGTGTACAAATTTAGCAACAACTTATCATACTAGATATTGTGACCTTTGGCGCCGGCAGTTGCCAGTGTCATTTGGGATAGCCCTGCCTGGTAAAGATGGCAGAAATAACCTAATCCGTTAAAGCCCACGTCTCAAACCGAAATGCAGTTCTGAAATAACCTCACAGCAGGAGCGGCATCTTTTCACACTGACTTTTAAGCAACCAAGGCAATATTTTGAAAGGAACAGTGTACCCAGCATAACCCGTGAGTATCGATGAGCTTCAGAGCAAGTCAGTCAATTAGGACCTGCAAGATATCCACCTAGGGAAACCGTAAGGGCGATGTGCTCATAAGTAAGAACGAAAAAGACTAACACGGCCTATTCAATTCCTTCTGTCTTTAGGAGGAAGCACTAAAAACAAGCCGGTTTTTTGTTTTGTTCTGTTTTGTTTTTTTAACTCTAAGTCATCGAACTGATTCTTCCCGGGAAGAGTTTTTAAAGTAGTACTTCTCACTCAGAACCTGGGACTCCAAGCAATGTGGCCGGCTCTACTCTCAGAGCACAAAGGAAAAAACAGGCACAGGACCAGCCATGGCATAAAGGCTCTCACAGTAATGAACAAAACGAGCCCAACTGCAACAGCTTCCCTAATTCCTTTACCTCCTCCATCTTTGAGTCAGGAATATACCACCGAGCTGATAGCGAAAAATACCCTAGAGACACGGGGAAGGGAGAACAGGAGACTAGTAATCCTGACCACCGGGGCGGCCGCCAGGATTTCAAGCTGAAAAAGAACAAAAGCAGTCACCAAAATAATTTCCTGACATCCATTTGGCATAGTTGTAGTGCAAAGGGGAAAAAAAAATGAAAATAAACTGAGCACTTTAAATTATTTGGAAACTTCATACCAATCTCATTTCATGGCCTTCTCCCATTAAAGACGTGATCCAATATAAAGTAATGCTCCATGAGTAAGTAAACCTTTCAGAAATAAAACCGAGAGTCAATGTTGGGTCTTTTGTCTAGGCCCTTTTCCATTTCCTGTCTCAGAGGCCTGCCTGCCTTCTAGTAAGACAAACTTTTGGCAGGAACACAGAAGGTATCCAGAAATTTGCATGAATTGGACAAGGAAGTCTAGATAAACAAAACCTGGCCTTCGGAAATGAGGCACTCTCTTAAAACCAGAGAGCCAAAATAGAAGCTAAGTAATGTAATGCCTTCTGATAAAGAAATTCACTTTTTAAAAAATTATATACACACAGTAGTCAAGAATCATTAAGGGAGTATTCTAAATTAGTGCCTGTCAGATCAAGACAGTAATTTCTAAACAAAACCATTAACATGGCCCGAATGCAGTTCTTTAACAGATATAAGTTTCATAGTATAACCAATACATGCATAATACTTACTTGCTTCCTTCTGTAATGAGCAAATTGAGAGAGGCCTAGGACACTTGCTAGAGCACCACCTCCAACAAGAATAGTCCCTTTCACTGCCTTTTGAAATGCCATTTCTTAGCCTACAAAGAAAAACAAAAAGGAAACAGAAAGAAGTGAATTGGGATTTTTATCAGATAACAATCCCCACGGTAGAGAGGGACCCTGCAAGACTCCGAACCGATGTTAAGCTAGAAAACAAAACATAAAATAAGGACGTTATCATGGGCCAAAAACAACACATAAAAAAATGGAGATGAGGGAACTGACCACATAAAAGTCACCTTCCGACGGGAATTAAAGAAAGAAAAGCAAGGTATGAGGCAACTGAAGATACTTACACAGGATAAAGTCAAGAATGCCATGAAAAGAAACCGTATTGTGTGACTCACAAAACTGCACTCTCTACTCGAAAACGTGTTCCATTGCTAATCCCCTCCACAAGGAGAACAGTGGAAGGCTGTCACTAATGGAGACAGTGAGTCTCACGTTCACTTCACGTTCTTTGGTGCCGGTTTAATTCAGATGGTGGCACAACTCCCTTCCTGGGCTCCCCCCACCAATGATGCTCTCACTAGAGCCAAGAGCCAACACTTGGGCATTCCTGTCCTTAAGCATCTACACTTGACAGACTAAAAGTCAAAAGAAACCATGCCTTGATCCTTTCACAAAGAGATAGAAGATAATTCTTAGTGACTACTATAATTCCTGTAATTAAGGGAACTTAATTAAAAAAAAAAAAAAGTTTTCTTCTAGCTAGGGTTGCATGGCACCGCAATTTCAAGGGGGAAGTCTCCATAGCAAGCACTTGTTTTGTTTGTTTGTTTCAGGGAGAGTGAGGGACGGGTGGCACCTGGGTGATTCAATCTGTTAAGAGTCTCCCTTCGTCTCAGGTCATAATCCCAGGGTCCTGGGATCCAGGCCCATGTGGGGCTCCCTGCTCAGTGGGGAGTCTGCTTCTCCATCTCCTTCTTCCCCTCCTCCCCACTCCGCCCCCCCACCCCCTCTTCCTGCTCACTTGCGAGGAAGGAATCGTTCTCTCTCTCCAAATAAATAAATAAAATCTTTTAAAAAGTGGGGAGGGAGGAAGAGAGGGGCAGAAGGAGAGGGAGAGAGAGAATCCCAACCAGGTTCCATGTCCAGGGAAGAGTGCAACCCGGAGGTCATTACCGGAGGGGAAATCAAGAGTCAGATGCTTAACTTGACTGAGACAGCCAGGTGCCCCTTGCTATGTATTTCTAAAATAAAGTCTTATATTGTGTTAGCTCTTGACTTCCTTTTCACCTTGAAACATATATGTGTGTGTGTGTGTGTATGTGTGTGTGCGTACTTCCACTATTAGAATCACTACATTTTTAAAAGTTTTTTTGAATGCTCCAATATCCTTTAACTTTTTTTAAAATAACACACATAAAAGTACATAAAAGTGAAGATTCCACCAAAAGAACTCTTGCCAGCTTTTATTTAGCTAAATAAAAAAGATAACACCGTGTGATCACCTAAAAAAGAAGAAGAAGAAGAAGAAGAAGAAGAAGAAGAAGAAGCCAGTTCTAATGTAGAGTTGCTATTGTTCAGTATCAGTTCGACCTGCCTAGGGCTTTCATTAATCATAGCAGCTGGCACACCCAGATCTTACACGGAAGCCACTACCCTATTGTCCTGAATGGGTGGAGGTCAGACCTGTTGGGACAACATACCTTTACTCTACAAGTATCTCATGACTCAGGAAAACGTTTAATATGAAGTAAGTTTTAACCTAGGATAAGAAAGAGCATATAGTATCTTAATGTAAATTATGGTACAGTTAAAATGTTTGGGTCCATATAGGATGAATAGCATAACTATATAGGATGAATTAGCATAACTACACTAAATCAAAGAATTTCAGTGCAGTTGATAACTGTGACTCTATAGAAAATTCATTTTGGAATACTATAAATTTTCTACTAAAATAAAAGTTGACATTTCTGAAAATTTTATTTTTCCTCTGACTTCACTCCTTCTAACAAACTAATAAATTCTAAGACTCGTCTTTTTTTATTAAGAGTATCACCAGAAAAAAATATTTCACACACATATGTTTCTCTACTGCTGCAGGACCTTCATCAAACGTACGCTCTTTCCCGAATTATGCAAAACAATTGGTATATATGATGGCTACTGGCCTTCATTCATCATTTGGTGAACCCTAAGCAAACCCTTATGTCCCAGGTTGCTCTGATACGGAAAACCTCAACTAAGCCAACTTGGAAGGCAGTCATCTGTCATAGCCCACCATTGCCATTCCTAACGCTTTTGTACATGTTCACATGGAGGTCTAGCACACAACAATGGAAACCCTAACAGTCCAGAGATAACATGCTATCTCCAGGCTAACGGGGTTCCCCTGACAATGAGGGACAGAGAATAGAGACCTAGTTCGATTTACCTAAACAATGCATGTGCCCGCCCCATATAGACAGCAGCCTTGTGGTCCCCTGGCTGTGAGTTTTGTAGCTGATTGACTTTAACTCAGTATCATTGCTTTTGAATTGTTGGTAATGTCATTGATGACCTCACAAAGAATACCACACATCAACAAAGCCAGCTGAGGGATGTCATGTAACACAGTCAAGAAAATGTCTCAGCAGACGTGTTCACTCAGCCACTTAATAGCCTATGAATTCAGTTGTATATATATTGTCTCGGGACTGGCTCCTGCATTTGCACAGACAAGTGCCAGTCCTCCAATTCTAGCAAGAGGAACACTGGCCCAACTAAAACATTCTGAACAAAAAGGTACTCAACTAAATACATCCATGAGTTTATTGATTGCCCTCGAGGTGCTTACAATCAATTTGGAGAATTAAAAATCAAAATCTGACTTTTAACTCTGTATTATAACTAGTTGTGCTATATTGAGTGTTATTAATACTCTGATAGACAAAAGACCCTGAATAGCAATCCTGAGAAAGAAGAACAAAGCTAGAAGCATCATAGTTCCCCATTTCAAACTGTATTTCAAAGCTCTATTAGTCAAGAGTATGGTATTAGCACTAAAAACTTATTGGCACTAAAAACAGACCTATAGATCAATAAAGAGCCCAGAAATAAACCCAAGCATATATAGTCAGTTAATTTTTAACAAAGGAGCCAAGAATATACAATGAGGAAAGGGTCTCTTCATTGAGAACAGTCTCTTCAATAAATGGTGTTAGGAAAACTGGACAGCCACATGCAAAGAAAAGAAAAGAGAAAAGAGGAAAAGAGAAGGAAAGCGAAAAGAAGAGAGGAAAGGAAAGGGAAGGAAAGGAGAGGAGAGGAGAGGAAAAAAAGGAAAAAGGGAAGAGAGAGGGAGGGAAGAAAGAAAGAGGATCATTATCTTATACCATATTCCAAAATAAACTCAAATGGATTAAAGATTTAAATATAAGACCTGAAACCGTAACACTGCTGGAAGAAAACATAGAAAACAGGGTAAGTTCTGTGACATTGCTTTGTGATGATTTTTTGGATTTGACACCAAAAGTGCAGGCAACAAAAGCAAAACTAAGCAAGTGGGACTACATCAGACTAAAAAGCTTCTGCACAGCAAAGGAAACCATCAGCAAAATGAAAGGCAACCAACAGAATGGGAGAAAATATTGCAAATCACATTATCTGGTAAGGTTCAATATCCAAAACACATAAAGAAGTCATGCAACTCACTTGCAAAACAAACAATTCAGTTGAAAAAAAATGGGCAGAGGGAATGAACGGACATTTTTCTAAAGAAGACATACAAATGCCCAAGAGGCACGTGAAATGATGTTCACCATCACTCATCACCAGGGAAATTCAAATGGAAACCACAATTAGATATCAATGTCCATGCACATACAGGCACATACACATACAGGGTGGGAGGGAGAGGGGGAGAGAGAGAACCAGGGCTGATGAGGTGAGAAAAGGAACCCATGTGCACGCAGGGGGGGCATGTAAATTGGGGTCACCACTATAGAATACAGTATGGCTATTCCTCAAAAAAATTAAACGTAGAAAAAAAAATTAAACAAAGAACTACCAGGATGCTTGGGTGGCTCAGTCGGTTAAGCATCTGCCTTCGGCTCAGGTCATGACCAAATCCCACATCGGGCTTCTTGCTCAGTGGGGAGCCTGCTTCTCCCTCTGCCCCTCACCCCACTGCTTGTATGCGCGCTTGCTCTCTCTCTTTCTGTCAAATAAATAAATAAAATCTTTAAAATAAAACCAAACAAAACCTAGAACTACCATAAGATCCAGCAATTCCACATCTAGATACCTATCTGAAGAAAACGAAAGCACTCGTTTAAAAGATGGTCTCAAACTCACCAGAGTCATCAGAGCTAAAGGTGTGGTTGGGGGAACCTTGTGCCCAGCACTGCCACCTGATAAATGGTGCTTGCTGCTGGCAAACAAAAACTGGATTGGCTGCTTCTCGGAGTTTGCTGAGCCATGCTTCAGGCTAACCTCGCAACTTAGCGGGCACAACTGAATTCTTAGTTGCTTTTTAGGATTCCCATTACAGAATGACTAGAACAGCGAAATCCCGTTTCAAATGGTCCTCGGGTGCTCACCATGTCTGCCTCCTCCCATTCCGAAGCAAGGCTACTCTCCAGGTTAAATCATGCATTTGAATAACTTCAGCCACACTTGAGACTTAAAAACAAGAAATGAGCGCCCATGGAGAAAGGCTGAGGGGCCTCTCAGCAGCCACCCACAAAGTTATTCCAGAATAAGAATGTGCTTCCTGGCCTCTGCATTTTCCAAATAGAGTACTCAAACTCCTGTCCCTGCCCTACCCTACAGCCGCTCTCTTCATTAAAGCATAATAAACCCCATCCGAATGGATGTATCACTCCTCTGTGGAAGGAGCCCTGGGTCTCTTCACTTTCACAAACTCTCCTCTCCTCTGGTCTCTTGTGTGGAAAGGCAATTGTTATTTACGTGGGCAGGGGTGAGGGCGGGATGCATGGAATATAGCTGAAAGACCATTTTTTAGAAGAGTAATTTCAACCACAAGGCTCACATTCCTTGGGACATGTGTTCCCTAGCAAGATGCAGCAAGATGTAAAGGTTTTCCATG